ACATAACGCTGTCCCGGGTTCATGTGAACAGGGCCTAAGGAGAAAACTTTTCGACTAGCCAAATACTTTTGTTCTGTTCACATGGAGAAACTTTACCTCGCTTACCGGGTAAAGTTTCCGGCTGTGACATAGCGCTGAACATGAATTGAATTGAAAAGTTGCTGACACAACAGAAAGTTATCCCGCTAAGCGGGAAAGTTGTGTTCATATGGGAAAAACACCGAGGTCTCGGTACACGGAAAAAGTTGTTGTCTCATATGAACGCAATGTAACTTTTCATATTATTTTCATACCAAGGTGAGATCTCGCTTGAAACTTGTTGAAAAGTTTTCTCGCTAACACAGATAACTTTTGCCCATATGAACAGGCCCTTACTGGTAGTATTTTTATGTATGAAATTTTAATTAAATTCTACATATCCAATGATTCATTCAAGTATTATTGTTTGTTATACATGTTATTGTACAGTATTCAGTGGCAAGCTAGCCATGACAACTGGTCAAGCTAAAATTGCCAATAAACCTGCATCTATCTGAATAATGCAAATCATTAAAAATGTGCATAGCATGACCTGTAGACTTTCACAAAGTCCTTCCTTTTTTAGAACGAAGGAATTTTCAAGGAAGTAATTTCTTGAAGAGTAAGGAATTTGTGGAAGTCAATAGGATTTAATAGAATCATAGAGATTATAAATAACACTAGAGGAGGCATCGCAATCTTGACATTAGGCAAAAAAGGAATCCTGCTATTGGGGGCAAATTCCTGCATGTGTACTTGTGTTCCCATTGGTGAGAGCATGATTTTATATCCGGGACCTACATTTGCCCCCCCCCCCCTAGACGTGTTCCCAAATTTTTAACCTCAATGCCTCTTCTAGTGTTATTTATAATCTTTATGATTAGAATATCTAGCCGACCTTCGACTTTGTGCAAGCTGTTTTCGCATTCAAACTGCACCTTTCCTACCTCCTGGTGTCTTAGGGGTGCCTTACGTGCTTGTGTGATGGAAGACGGGTTGAGGCAGCATTTTCCTTGCGATAGTAACTTCTAGTATTAGGCAAGTAAAACTGCCATTTCTTGTTTACTTTCACTAAGCTCATCATCTGTTTCATCATCCTGTTGGATTGTTTCATGAGCATCATCTTCCGCATCATCACCTGATGCAAATGCGTTCTCAAATAGCTTTTTTTTGTTGTGACTTAACCAGTTGTGCAATGCGGTCACATCTAATTTCTCAAGTGGGCTTTTGGGAATATTGGGAAAAGAAAGCACTACCCTTCCAGGTTGTTCTGAAAAGGTTTGACTTTTTCTAATACATTGATTTCATATAACATAAATAATCACTTGTTTATTACTCGGGTATATAATCATAGCTAACCGCGCTAACTAAGATACATGTGCTGGTTGATTGACATATGATAATTGATATATTAATAGATCAAGTTACTACAGGGGTCACCGTGCTTTTTTTCAAGTTAAATTAGTTTAAAGCCAGAAAATCGGCCATATTGAGACACCATGATTACAATAGTAGGCTGTTTAAGAACATTTTTCCTTTTCGTAATCCTCACTATTAGGGCAACGTTACAGGCAAGTTTCGTGATCTCTTATCTTACAAAACAACCCAGCTAGCACATAACGTTATTACAACGTTGGTAAAAGGTTGTCGCAAAGTTAGATCTAACTTAACTTTCACACGACGTTCACACAACATTACTTTTCTATCCGGAATAAGAGCACGTGGTGTAAATGTTGGTTTAACGTTGAAATTTAACGTTCCAGGATGTCATGCGACACCTTCTTAGCAATGTTAGATTTCAGCGTTGTAGCAACGTTAATGTGTAACGTTTGGACCTGACATCAAAACAACGTCGTAGACAACGTCGTCCTGACGTTAAGATTTGATATTTTTGCAACGTTCCAGGATGTCATACGATATCTTCATGGCAATGTTAGATTTTAACGTTGTAGCAACGTTAATGTGTAACGTTTGGATATGACATCAAAACAACGTCGTAAATGTCGTCGTCTTGACGTTAAGATTTGATATTTTCGCAACGTTCTAAAAAAATTAAACATATGTCTTCTATTATTGAACCTGACAGTTAAACTATAGGTATATAAAACCGCATCAGGCCATATGACTTCGTATGCCTATTCAGCTGCAGGAATCGCAAGGAATGTCGCCTTGGTTAGTTCTTACTGGAAATTTTGTCCTGAAAACGTTTTATCCAACTGATTTTAAGCCAGACAGTAGGCCTTTGTATTTGGCAGCTTATCAACAACTCGCCAAATATGGTAATTCTGACCATATATACGTAAAGTGTTTGCGCCGCGGGCAAATTGAAAAGATTACACCATTGTTCTTGGCTTGCGACGCAACTGAAATGTACAGGGTGTCTCAAAAAAACCCAAAATCATTGAAATTGACGTATTGTTCGATATTCAATGCCCTAGCACTAAGTTAATCCCACGAGTGCATAAAAGATTGAGATAACTGCTATAATGAATGGTAATACTCAGCGTAAACTTGTTATGTCAGGCATAAAGTACTAAACCCACAAATTTACGAAGCATTTTTAAATTCCCATGAGCAAACAAACATTCACTTTACAAAGATATGTTAATTTTTTAAAACAAATTAATCACCCTGTCAAAATCCTTTGTGTTACGGCATTGAAATTCGAACAATACGTTATTTCAATGATTTTGGTTTTTTTTGAGACACCCTGTATGCTGACTCTGTAATCTCATCGAAGCTGCTGTATATTTCAGAAGAACTCGCTCGTTCGTTTTGTTTACGATGTAAGTATATATATTGTATCTGTAACATTTGAAACTTCCATGTGTCTATCTCATGTAGGGAAAAAAGGCGAACAAAATATATTTATTTTGATATGTGTCTGCATGTTTGTTTGACGCCATATTAATTTACATTTTACAGCGCCTCTCTTGAATCGAAGATATATTTCAGAAGTACTCGTTCATTTGTCAATGAAATCCAAGAATGACTAATTAGTATACTATATTAAATATTTAACTGTCTGTGCCAGTGTAGATATGCAACCATCTCAAACTACATATAACGAGAACTAGAAGAATTACGACGTTTCGAGCGAAGGCCCTTCGTAGCAACGTATTTACTCCGGAGGGTCTTCACTCGAAACGTCGAAATTTTCCTTATATTGTTCAGGTAATTCTGTAATTTAAACTACAGACTGTTATTCAAGCACAGTATTGCGCACGTCTATTGCTAAAATGCGGCCTAGAAAAAGTTCCGTCATACAAGATTGTTCAGGAATGTTCAGGTAGTTGCATCCCTACCAACGAAAGCTTGTTCATATACTATACTGAATTAAATATTATTGTCAATATTCATCTAAACTAAATTGGATCAGTATTTTTAGCCTATATTATTTGTAAATGAAGCTCTTTCCTTAAATAAAATGATTAAATCAAAGACTTTAGTTAATTGTTCTAACGTTGATCCTAACGTTGTCACAACGTTCCTGCGAGTTCACAAAATAACGTTACTACAACGTTAATTTTCAACGTTTTCTGGACATTAATCAAACGTTGCAAGAACGTTGAACCAATGTCGTGTTCTAACGTTAATCAAACGTTGTAAGAACGTTGAACCAACGTCGTGTTCTAACGTTAATCCTGACGTTGTCACCACGTTCCTGCGAGTTCACAAAATAACGTTACTACAACTTAGAATACCAACGTTATCTCCACGTTCGGCGAACGTTCGTACAACGTTGGCACAACGTAATTGTGCTAGCTGGGAAAGAAATAATAGGGTTGAAACACAGCCGTATACGCTATAACATTAAAACTGTAGGGAACCACCTTAAAAACCAGCATTTTTGTGCCATTTGTAAGCCTATATTTAATAACTTTACCTATTAATGTGCATTCTTCCAAAAATTAGGTGAAAATTCTGCTGTTCAAATTGCTATAACTTTTGACTGGCTGCACAGATTTTTATGAAATAAACAGTAAAATGTTTCAAATGACGAGCTCTCTCAAAACACTATATATTTTGGAAGGCCCACAGTTAATATGAAATTTTGACTGTTGTTTCATTTTGCATTTGTTTTAGACTGTGAAAGTTTACACTCGCGGAGAATGGAACAGGAAGGTGGAGAAGGTAAGTTTTCCTTGATTGATTGTTGATTAGTCAGAAACCATCAGTATGGAAAAATTAAAGTCACTAAGCAGTCAGAGTAGAATACTAGTGATAAGTCCCTGAGTGTTCAATGCTGATGAATATGCATTAATACAATACAATAATTTATTGAACTCTCCCCAACGGGGCTTTTCGGAGCCAATTAACATTTACAAAAAATTATAAGATTTACTAACATGAAATTCTAACTAACTAATTACTGGTATGGATGTAAAAATTGTTAAAGGCCAAATGCTACTATGAATGACTTCCTAAAAGATATTTACATAATTTATGTTTAAAAATGTTAATTGATGAACTACATTTAATGTTCTCTGGAAGTTCGTTCCATAAGGAGACAGCACAGTAACAATCTCGTTCCCTGAGCCTGCGGTCCTTGGAAAGGAACCAAAGGCTCTGGGATAATCCGTTGCCGGAAGCCAAGAATCCTGGCTAAGACCGAACTGCGCATGCATATGTCAGACAGTATTGTTTTGTATTCTCTGGTTTTGTAAAGGTTTAGTATTGTTTTGGTTTTGAAATATAAAAAATTAAAAATGTCTGCAGAAAGTATTAATTTATTTCATAGCGGATTGGAAAAAGCGTTAGAGCGATTAGGTAAGCGAAATATTGAGCTAAAGGAATGTCAGTAAGAAGCAGTGAAGGCTGTAGTTGTTGATCGGAAGGACACATTTTGCGTCTTGCCTACTGGTTATGGAAAGTCACTCATATACCAGCTTATTTCATTCGTGTTTGATGCCTACTTGGGTCGTGAAAACACGAATTCTACTGGTAACTCAGTAATTGTTATTTCGCCATTAAACACCTTAATGGTTGATCAGACTACTAAACTGAAAAAGCACATGGATGTTAGTGTTTTGAAGGCCAGCAGGGAAGCAACACCACCAAAGCACAGCATGCGGTCGGAGAGGGGCTCAATTTATCATCAAATTGCTCATCCAAGTCAGATAATATTTGCTCGCCCAGAAACCTTATTGGAAGATAAAAAAATTTTTCAAAATATTTTGAAGTCAAAGTCATATCAAGACTCTGTTAAAGCTATTGTGATTGACGAAGCACATCTAGTGGAAGAATGGTAAGAATTTTATTTTAATATAATACTGAGTTTTAAATTATAATATGGTTGAGGTGCAAAACATGTAAAAAAACATTCAGATTGAGCCTGAACTATAATTATTATATAGCAAGTTTCAAAGTTCACTTTTCCTATAGTTTTATTGATCGAGGGTATGTCAAGTTAGAGTCAAGAAATTAAAATTAAGCTGTCTCCCTCTGACTTTCCAGCGAGCATAGGTCTCTAGAGCACTGGAGCCAGCAGGGCACCCTTGGAGAGACTCCACAGACTCAATGGGTAAAAGAGTAGGAAGCATGATGATTGTGCATTGCAGCTGGACTTATTAACCATTTAACATATCTTTTTCTTGTTTAGGAAAAGTTTTAGACCTTGTTATGCGAAAATTGGTATGCTGACAAGTATTTTTCCCAAGATCCCATTTTTGGCAATGACAGCAACTGCCATGTTGCAGATGAAAAAGGATATTACAACCAGTCCAGGATTGATCGATCCAAAACATATCGAGATAAGCCCTGATCATCCTACTATCCTGATCATCCTACTATCCTGATCGTCCTTCAGCTCTTTGCCTAGACCTGATAGAGGGGATGATAAGCTTCAACCTATATTAACTCTCCTTATTGCAGAATTAAAGGTAAAACGGTTGGATTTCCCTCTGACATTAGTTTATGGCAACTTGCAAGTTATTGGAGAATGTTTTTTGTTTGCAAGCAATATGATGGGGCCTTTGCAATATGAACCAGTACAATCTAGCGAACATTCAGCTAACCGACTATTCACACAGTTTCATGCTCAATATCCAGAACATGAACGGGAAAGGATTATACAGGATCTGGTAAGTGGTCAGTCCAAGTTAAGGCTACTATTTGTCACTTGTGGCGTTTGGTATTAGTGTTGACGTCCATGACATGATTATTCATATTGGAGTCCCTCGTACAATTGAGGAATATTTTCAAGAAGCTGGTAGATGTGGACGAGATGGACTTCCAGCATCTTCCACAATATATTACAACTCATATGATTTAGCATCATCTCGTAACATTTCACCCCACATGAAAGAGCTTGTAACTGTGGCAGATAAATGCAAAAGGGAAATAATTTTGGATTACTTTGGTTACAAGTAGCAAATTGGATTAAACCAGAGCATACTTGCTGTGATTTTCATCAACAGAAATGTAGCTGTGATGACTGTGTTTTGAGTTCAGCTGCTGAAATGTTAGAAAATGCTGATTCTGGTGTATTGGATCCATCTGTTATTAATGATCCTGACTACATGGAAGCTGTGGAAGAAAGATCTCTTTCTCTTACAACTAAGCAAAAAGATTTGCTAAAGGGATATTTATTGAATTACAGGCAGTTCCTTCATGGCTATGGAAAGAGTTGTGTTGGAAGTGTTGGATTATCTACTGGGTTTAGTTTGGAGCTTGTTGACACAATTATTGCTCATGCTAGTGAGCTGACGTCACTTGATGAGGTAAAAGGTAAACTGCCATTATTTGATGATGACCATGCTTCTGTAATTTTTGAAATTTTAAGGAGTATCATGCACGGTGGGCATAAAAGAGAGCAAATTTGGCCAAGTACATATAACTTTCTCTCGTTAGTTTGGAATATCACAAAACTCCCTCACAGGATAGAACTTAACATTCCTAAAAATCGTATGTTTTTTGTTTTTCGATTTTGTTACATTTTGGCGGGAAAATGACGTGCCAACTTTGGCGCCAAAAAATTAAACACGAGCTAAGAACATGCTAGTAACTTTTTCCAAAAGATTGTCCTATAAGGATCTCAAAACTGTAAAAATATTAAAAATACAACAAGGCAGTGCGAAGATATGGCGATTCAAAGTTCGAAAAAAATCTATTTTTAGTAACAACAAAATGGCTGATTTTTCAGTAAAAATAGAACTTTGAATCGCCATATCTTCGCACTGCCTTGTTGTATTTTTAATGTTTTTACAGTTTTGAGATCCTTATAGGACAATCTATTCGAAAAAGTTACTAGCATGTTCTTAGCTCGTGTTTAATTTTTTGGTGCCAAAGTTGGCACGTCATTTTCCCGCCAAAATGTAACAAAATCGAAAAACAAAAAACATACGATTTTTAGGAATGTTAAGTTCTATCCTGTGAGGGAGTTTTGTGATATTCCAAACTAACAAGAGAAAGTTATATGTATGTGGCCAAATTTGTTGTCTTTTATGCCCACCGTGATCAAAAACACTTAAATTATAAACACAAACTTAGATAATAGGGAGCTTTAGCAGAGAGTACAAGATTTGCTCGTATGTGAGGAAATCACCATAGTCGTTCTCATTTCCGTTCAAATGTTGCTTTTATAGTTGTGGACAAACAACGAAAGAAAAAGTCCATATAAACTAAATCTCCTGCAGGTTAAAATCCCCTACAAAATGTGCAAATAAGTCATAACATTAAAAACAAGCCAGATATTTAATACTAATAGATTATTTGTGCCTGATAAATGCTACATGCAAATTATTTTTGAAAAACAAAAAAAGCCAGCTTTCTTTGTTTTTTTGAAAAGTCGTAGTCAGGACTACGAGATTTCTCCACAATTTTGTACTCAGATGGGCAACAGCTATGACTTTTTCGCATCAGTACGGTATGGCGTAAGCATACAGCATGCGTTTCGCTTGACAAACCTCGTACTCATACTGACATACTTGTAGTCTCTGCTAAAACTCCTTAATAATACAATATAGATTGACAGATGGGCATACTGTATATGCCTGGGTATATGTCAGGCAATTCTTGGGTTTGATTACAGCATTTTGCAGTTAATCTAGGGGGGGGGTCAACCTAAAATGTATTCATGTTTATGCTGTATTGGAGTGAGCAAACGATACAAAATTGCATGTATTTGCCACCAAACACAAGGCCAACAAATACAGTGAACAATTATTTCACTCTGATGACTGTGTCTCGAGTTACCCTCCCC